TGGATCATTGCGGCAACGACGGCAATTTTTTGCCGTATGGTGCAATTTTTATACTATTCACTGTGCATTACTACTTTGATACTTGAATTCAGATGTTGATCAAATCATGCGTAAATCACTATTTTAGTCTCAGTTTTCTTCGGAAAAAAAACTAAAGAAATACGTAGTGTGTGTGTGTATTATAGAGATATCCATATTTAAGAGGTACCGAAATTAGAAAGGTTTCTGTATTAGAGAGGTGTTCATATGAGAGAGGTGTCTATATCAGATGGAGAATTCTCCGTACGTATTAGAAAGGGGTGTCTGTATTAGAGCGGTACCCTTATTAGAGAGATGTCTGTATTAGAGAGGTGTCCGCAGTGAAGAGACGAACGTATAAGGAAGGTGTGCGTATTTGAGTGGACCCGTATTCTTGATTATTACTTTTGGCGTTCAGTCTTTCAGAGTCGTTCTTAACCATGAACATTTTCTTCATTTTTCCAGGTGGAAGAGGTGCTTTTGTAAAGCCTGTCCCAAGGGGTGAAATTCTTTTTCAACGTCATAGGCTGGTCAGTTTTTATGCAAGAATGAAAATTGGTAATGGTGGCTGTTTCAATGTCAAACTTGGTTGATAAATCTTCCTTTAAAAACCAAGTCACGGATAACGAAAAACAATTTATTTCAAGATATTTTTTGCCTTTTTTTAGTTGTGCTAGTTTCTGTTTTCGTTTCTTTACATGTTTTGGTGTTTTAGTTTTTCTTCGTTCACTGCTCTCCTCCTTTACTGATTTCTTGTGTTCCTAAAAAGAATTTGATTAAATCGTTAAATGGTTTAAATTTTGATGTCTTCTTTATATATACATGAGCTTCTTGTGACCTTTCATTCATGCTAAATAACAACATTGCATTCCATTGTTTAGATTTTTACCCATTTGATGCTTGAGTGGCCATTTTAACGTCATATCATGTACGACTAATTTGAATTTGAAAGGGTGTACATTTTTTTTATACACCCTGTAGAAATGAGTTATATTGCTTTTCTAATGAGTTTAAATGCCATCTTCCCTTCGATAGGCTATGGTCTAATAAATGTTTATAATTTCTACTCGATTATTTACATCCTTCCACCTACAAACCCTTCAATTTTACCAGCAGACAATTTCGACAAAAGTAAAACACACTTCGAATATTATAAAATCTTGTAAACCCACGATTTGAGCTATGGAATGGAAAAACTTTATTTATACAGGGTAGCCCATTCAGCCCAATGGCTGCTGTCCATAGGGGCCCTGTATATTGAAACAAGACATCATGTTTCAATAACTGAAACGACAAGATGTTACATTTCGTTATCTTATAAACCTCTGCGCTAATTTCCTCGTCTGCGCGTTACTGAAAAATATCCTTTGAAACTCCTTTGTGCATGTGGGTATTTTATTAAACGTATTTCGTATACCACATTCGCAGTTGCCGCTAACATGTGACCCCTCGATTAATAATCTTTCCTATTTGGCTATTACTAATTTTCATTAATCGTAGATTAAGCTAACCAGGTTATGATTATGCAATCTGCAAAAATAATGGGAGGTCAGCCCCTCCAGAACGGAAATCTTATGTAGAACAAAAGGATACAAGCTCACTTGATTTTGATTTTCAGTATGAATACAAACTGTGAAAGCATGGTCTATCGATCCCTTAGTCTTTACGAGTTTTAGCTAAGGGTGTCAGAAAAGTTCTCACAGGGATAACTGGCTTGTGCATGACAGCCAAGCGTTCATGCATACTGATCATGATAAGCACCAATTGAAGTGTTTGTGTTACAGTGGCTGGGTTTTACGTCATGGCGAAACCCGAAAGTCATTATTGGTACGAAATCATTTTGACTTCTTGAGCACCACTACTTCAGAGTCAAAACGAAACTGATATATCTGCACGCAGACACACTGCAGAGATACGGTTTACAGACGAACAACAGGTAGAGAAGATTTGAGTCTCTTTTAACTCTTTTACAACTGACAACTGATATATATCCGTTTTGATGCCTTTGAGATTCGTTTAATGAATAATCCCTCTTAGTTTAAATGCATGGCTAAGGGCATGGGCAAAGTTATAGACTCGAGTCATGCGACTTGGAGTCGAGACTGTCGAGAGCAATTTCTGTGACTTGACTTGTTATTTTGATCAACAACTTGTGACTTGACTTGGACTCGGAACAAAACGACTTTTGACTTGACTTGACTTGCACTTGCAAGAAATGACTTTTGTTACCAACGTAACTTAACGTACAGTGAGAATGAACTTTTCTACAACTTGCACTGAAAATTCATCCATGCACAACGAGTAATGCAGCCATGCTGGCATATCGCTGTATCATGCTGTGAGCCTGTTTATAGTATACTAATATATAATTGTCATGGATGACTCCCCAGTTCATGGAAAAAGAACTGTACAGAATGGCTCGCGACTTGGATTGGTCACAGGTGAAATTATTTGCGACTTGATTTGCTACGCGGGGTGAATGACTTGTTAGGGGCTGTTCTTATGATTACCGAGACGTCTCGCCTAGCGGGACGAATATTTCCGTGCGTTATATGCAGTGTTTCATCCCGCTTGCCGAATGAAATTACGATGTAGTTGTATAATTAGCGCCTGCAAAATTTGTACATTTCAGTCACATGCAACACAAACATCATAGCGATTTTAGTACGTCTTTCTTCGTTTATGTACATGAAAAAGCAATAATGCTTTGATTGCATATTTAATACTTGTTTATAAAACAAACATAATACTAAGTAAAAAATGTTAAATTAACTCGGCAAAACCCGAAATTCGGTTGTTTGACTTCATCCCGGTAAGCAGGCTGGGGTGTTCATATGGGAAATTTTCATCCGCGCCTACCTATGATCTCGCCAATTTCAAGCGAGATCTCGGCAAGCGGGCCAGCTCGCTTTCTCATATGAAAACAATGCAAAATATTATTATCTTGTAAACTCGAGATTTGAGCAAGACAACAAAATTCAGGGTTGTTTCAATAGCTGAAACAACATTAAGATGTTATATGCATTTCGTTATCTTATAAACCTCTGCTAATTTCCTCAACTACGCGTTACTGAAAAATATCCTTTGTGTGCGTGTATTTCATTAAACCTATTTCGTATACCATTCGCAGTTGCCGCTAACATGTGACCCTCGATTAATAATCTTTCCTATTCTTAATTTTCATTAATCTTGGATTAAGCTAACCAGGATATGATTATGCAATCAGCAAAAATAATGGGAGGTCAGCCTCCCAGAACGGAAATCTCATGTAGAAAAAAATGGTATACAAGCTCACTTGATTTTGATTTTCAGTATGAATGCAAACTGTGAAAGCATGGCCTATCGATCCCTTAATTAGTCTTTACTCTTTACGAGTTTTAGCTAGAGGTGTCAGAAAAGTTATCACAGGGATATAACTGGCTTGTGGCAGCCAAGCGTTCATGAATATCATGATAAAGTAAGTACCGATTGAAGTGCTTACGTTACAGTGGGTGGGTTTTATGTCATGGCGACACCCGAAAGTCATAACTTGCACTGAAAATTCATCGACGAATAACGAGTAATGCAGCCATACGCCAATATCGCTGTATCATGCTGCGAGCCTGTTATGTATAGTATACTAATATATAATTGTCATGGGTGACTCCCCAGTTCATGGAAAAAGAACTGTACAGAATGGCTTGCGACTTGGATTAGTCACGACAGGTGAAATGATTTGTGACTTAACTTGCTACGCGGGGTGAATGACTTGTTAGGGGCTGTTCGGCTTATGATTAACGAGACGTCTCGCCTAGCGGGAGTGTTTCATCACGCTTATATGGAGTGTTTCATCGCGCGCTTGCCGAGATGAAATTACGATGTAGTTGTATAATTAGCGCCTGCAAAATACATTTCAGTCATGTAACACAAACATTATAGCGATTTTAGTGTCTTTCTTCATTTATGTACATGAAAAAGCATTGCTTTGGCTGCCTATTTAATACTTGTTTATAAAATAAACATAAAACTAAGTAAAAAGTGTTAAATTAAACGACAAAACCCGAAATTCGGCAACCTCGTTCCCAGGCTCTCAAGAGCCTGGGAACGAGGTTGGAAATTCGGTTGTTTGACTTCAACCCGGTAAGCGGGCTGGGGTGTTCATATGTCGGGAAATTTTTCATCCCGCCTACCTATGATCTCGCCGGAAAATTCAAGCGAGATCTCGGCAAGCGGGCCAGCTCGCTTTCTCATATGAACACAATGTAAAATTTTATAGATTTGGACAAATCATGGATCACCCGTCACTCGTCAGTGTAAAAACAAGACGAGCTATATATGCACGTGCATGCATGAACTATATAGCTAGAACAGTGCGATCTATATGACAATCGTTCGTGGAATAAATCATGTTTATAAAGGCCTGGTCAAACGAGAACAAGAAATATAAGTAAAACCGACACACGAAATACGTTTTATCAAATACGCACATGCACAAACGATATTTTTCAGTAACGCGCAGTCGAGGAAATTAGCAGAGGTTTATAAGATAACGAAATGTAACATCTCAGTGTCAGCTGTTGAAACAACCCTGAATTTTGCTGTCTTGCTTAAATCTCGAGTTTACGAGATAATAATATTCGAAGTACCATTCGCAGTTGCCGCTAACATGTGACCCCTCGATCAATAATCTTTCCTATTATTAATTTTCATTAATCTTACTATCTTAGATTAAGCTTAATGAATAATGGGAGATCAGCCCCCCAGAACGGAAATCTCATGAAGAACGAAGGGGTACAAGCTCGCCTGATTTCGATATTCAATATATGAATACAAACTGTGTAAGCATGGTCTATCGATCCCTTAGTCTTTACGAGTTTTAGCTAGGGGTGTCAGAAAAGTTCTCACAGGGATAACTGGGTTGTGGCAGCCAAGCGTTCATGCATGCTGATCATGATAAGTACCAATTGAAGTGTTTGCGTTACAGTGGCTGGGTTTTACGTCATGGCGAAACCCGAAAGTCATTATTGGTAAATCATTTTGACTTCTTCAGGACCATATATAAACCGGCTCCCAGTGCTATAACAATAAGAGTCAAAACGAAACTGATATATCACGCTGCAAAGGTAAAATTTACAGACGAACAACAGAAACCAGGTAGGGAAAATGTTTGAGTCTCTTTCACAACACAAGATATACATCCATTTTGAGATTCCTTTAATGAAGAATCTTTCTTAGTTTAAATACATGATTGAGAGCAAAGTTGTAGACTCGAGTCATGCGACTAATTCGACTCGAGACTGTCGAGAGCAATTTCTGTGACTTGACTTGACTTGTTATTTTGATCAACAACTTTTGACTTGACTTGGACTCGGAACAAAATGACTTTTGACTTGACTTGCACTTGCACTTGCAAGAAATGACTTTTGTTACCAACGTAACTTAACGTACAGTCGTAAATATCTAGTGAGAATGAACTGTTCTACAACTTGCACCGAAAATCGATCCATGCACAACGAGTAATGCAGCCATACGCCAATATCGATGTATCATGCTGTGAGTCTGTTATGTATAGTATACTAATATATAATTGTCATGGGTGACTCCCCAGTTCATGGAAAAAGAACTGTACAGAATGCCTTGCGACTTGGATTGGTCACAGGTAAAACGATTTGTGACTTGACTTGGTACGCGGGGTGAATGACTTGTTAGGGACTGTTCATATGATTACCGAGACGTCTCGCCTAGCGGGACGAATATTTCCGTGCGTTCATATGCAGTGTTTCGGCATCGCGCTTGCCGGGATTACGATGTTGTCGTATAATTAGCGCCTGCAAAACTTATACATTTCAGTCGTACAACACAAACATCATAGCGATTTTAGTGTTTTTCTTCATTTATGTACATGAAAAAGCATTGCTTTGGCTGCATATTTAATACTTGTTTATAAAACAAACATAAAACTAATTTAAAGTGTTAAATTAAACGGCAAAACTCGAAACTCGGTTGGCTGGGGTGTTCATATGGGACATTTTTCAACCCGCCCACCTATGATCTAGCCAAATTCAAACGAGATCTCTGCAAGCGGGCCAGCTCGCATTCTCATATATGAAAACAATGCAAAATTTATAGACCGGGGCTTAACATTTTCCAGATATTCGTTAGAGTATAAGCAAGCTATGTATACATGCACCCCCTGTTGCGAAAGGTTTCCAATCGCTACGGTTTCTGTTAGTCATAAACGCCTGCCAGCAGAATATTGTACACTTTGACGGACGGTCCGTCTCAACTACAAATGACGGACATTTAATGTTAACAGAATTGGCTTAAAGATTTAATTTTTTCACAGGACATTTGTTTAATCTTCGTCAAGTTCTGAAGGATGAAAGTTTTGTTGCGTTTAGTGGTTTGTATCGTTCTGCTCGTTGCGTTCACGACAGCAAGTATTGTGCAAGGTTCGTATATCCTCCTTCATATAAACTCGAATACTGAGCTATTTTAATTTAGGTTGTCACAAGTAGTATAGACAAATGTGAAATCTAAGCGCCAAAAGTATAATGGGAATTGGATATTTTATAGCAGGCATTAAAATATGGAATTTTTACAAGGACACACTTTGCCTTCAGAGGCGTATTTTTGGTATAAATGTGCAGACTCACGAGAACGAGTGCCGAAGCCACAAGTTTAGCGTCGAAGACGCGAGCTTTTAAGGGGGTCTCTGAAGTGGCATTTCCAGAGTTCTGAGAAAATTTGCAAAATCTTTGGCCATTTTGCGTGGATTACATTAATATATTTTCAGTTTAATATATTTTCAAGTACACACTTTTCAATTTACAAGGGCACATTCGCCTTTTACAAGGACACAAAGTGTGTACAAGGACACGCTATTTTAATGCCTGTTTTATAGGGTGAAATGTATTATAAATCATTATAACCCCTGGAAATTGCCAAAACGAAAAAGAGCGTTGAATTCGAAGGTCGTCATACTAAAAAAACAACATTTGCGAGATAATGATCGCGCTGCATGCAAAACAAAATATTTATGAATTGGTTTTTAAACATCAGTTTTGCTTCCCGGAAAGGAAAATGTTGTTTCAGTGAACATGTGATTAAAATATTAAGATTTACAGATGTTTCCTATTTTGTCCATGCAGATCTTTAGTTCAATACTATTTATATATATGCGAAGGCTAAAGATAATCAAATATTCCACCCCATTACATGACGAAGATGCGTAAAATCTATCCCCATTAAATACCGCTGAACATATATTTGCCAACATCAGATGATAAACTGAAAATCAAGGCGACTTGAGCACATAAAGCTCTGGCTCTGTCACTCCTGCACTCTGCAAGCCAACCTCTTTAATTATAGCTCCGCTTCTAATATAAACGTTTCTCCTGCATGGATGACCAGAAATTAGAGCTACTGATTCACTACAGGAGGAAATCATGATCAAAACCTGAACTGACTCTATCTTCGTCATACTGGATAAGCTCAATCAGTTCTGAACTGGTCTTCCTAGAGGTCCAGTAAACACCCTCTGGTATTGATTCAATTTTGCCACAGAAGGAAAGCGGAATGTACTCGGCTTCGAAGCCAGTTAGACAAGCAGGGGCGAAAGACACGTCACTGGCACTGTAGCACTTCCCCTCATCGGGTCAATCCTGCCACTATAAGTCGAGACTTGGGGATTTATTTATAAGTTAGAGAACTGCGATCTGTGCTGTTTTTAGTCTTGTGCTTCGAGGATTTTTCTTCACAAAAAAAAAGATCTTAGGTCTTAGCCATTGTCAAGCACGGTTATCATGAGCCTCTAGTTCAGGTGAATTAGGCAACCACGCCCTGTGTAATCAATCTTAAGCAACTCATTATCAACAATGATTAAATGACTCATTATCTTTAAAGATTTAGCTGATGAAATAGAAAACGAGGAGTTATTTCTTGAAAAACGTCAGGGATGCCCGACGATCACTTTCCCGTGTGGTCCTGGCACTACTATGCCAGCAGTTTGTAAGAACATGCAATACGGCATTGCAAGTGGCCATCCATCGCAACTTCATCGCGTCACGGACTCGAAAGTCATAAATAAGAACAGACGTGACTCTGGATGCACAAAAATGCCTAAGCAACCAGGCTATAACTGTGACGAGTACCCCTTTGCTTCATCCAAAGAAGGTACGAAGTTTTCGCATTCAATAGGTGTCCTTACAGGAGAGGTGACCCGTGAGTGAGAGGTTTCTTTATTAGAGTAGTGACCGTATTGGAGAGGTACCCCAATGGAACGATGCCCGTATTAAAGGGGTTTCTGTATTAGAGAGCTGTCCGGATTAAAAGGTGTCCGTATTAGAGAGTTACCCGTAGTATTAGAGAGGTTTCTGTATTAGAGTGGTGTTCGTTTAAGGGAGCTGTCTATATTAGAGAGGTGTCTGTATTAGAGAGGTATTCGTATAAGAGAGGAGTCTGTATTAGAGAGGTACCCGTATTAGATGGAGAAGTCTCCGTATAATAAAGGTGACTGGATAACAGAGATGTGTCGGCATCAGAGGGGTGAACGTATTAGAAAGTTGTCTGTAATAGAGAGGTGTCCGCAGTGAAGAGACGAACATATTAGAAAGGTGTGTCTGTATTAGAGTGGTACCCATATTAGAGAGATGTCTGTATTAGAGAGGTGTCCGTAGTGAAGAGACAAACGTATTAGAAAGGTGTGTCTGTATTTGAGTGGTACCCATATTAGAGAGGTGTCTGTATTAGAGAGGTGTCTGTGTTAGAGAGATGTCTGTATTAGAGAGATGTCTGTATTAGAGAGGTGTCCGTAGTGAAGAGACAAACGTATTAGAAAGGTGTGTCTGTATTTGAGTGGACCCGTATTCTTGATTATCACTCTTGGCATTCAGCCTTTCAGAGTCGTTCTTAACCATGAATATTTTTTTTATATTTCCAGGTGGTAAAGGCGCCGAGATTATGCTTGTCCCAGCGGTTGAAAACAGTCAGCAGGGTGGTTTGTTGGGCGGTTTTTACAGATCACAAGGAATTAAAGATGGTGACTGCTACAATGTCAAAGTTTAGTAAATCTTCCTGCATGTAGGCCTACTCTGAGATAGCTTTGGCCATATTTTAAATACATTTCAACTTTAATTTCTAAGTCATAATTTAAGTTTTAAGTCAATCATGTACTTGTAGAATTTTCTTTTGTTGAAGAACGAAATTGAATTAAATTAAATAAAACAGTAGAATAAATATATAGTAGTTTGTCGTTTTTAACAATCGGGCAAAAAAACATTGTTTGAATTTGTTGTTCCCTTGTATTGCCGAGAAATAATCCAAGAGTGAGCGCTGACGATAAGTCGATAACATTCGAGGAACATCAAAATTCAATATTTCCTTAACAACGCTTCTTAATTTGAAGGGTGGTTTTTCAACGAATGTCATTTTTACTTTACTCGCCATTAAAAGCTGAAGAGAATATTCTGAGACGAAAGATTCGTCCATCTGTTTTGTCAATACGGCATCAGACGGACCACCAAGAAAATATCAGGCAAGATTAGTTCCCAAAATGAAAGAACCATTGCCACTATTCTGTCTGGTTCGTCTGTTGTTCATGCGCTTACATCAAGACGGATGCTCGATCCATCTTATTGTATCGGTAATTCAGTCCTAACGCTATTATTGCCGTGAATATTTTGATCTTATAAATGGAGGTATGTTTTTTTATAGAACTTTCACATTATTGATTTCTTAATCGTAGATGTTACTGGTAAAAATATAATTGTATTAGGCTAAGATTATAAATGTCAGTATAGATACTTATTTATAAATCTCTATCTCGATTTTCTTGGTAACTGGCACAACAACTCATCTGGTGTTCTTTTATTGAACTAACAGAAAAACAATTGAAACACTGTTTAGTATTCCTACTGAGATTTTTTAACAATGAACTAATATTATGAAAATATTGTATCAGTAATTCAGTCCCAACGCTATTATTGCACAGTGAATATTTTGTTTATAAGCCTTAAGGTGTGCTTTTTCATAGAACTTTTCACATTACTGGTTTTGAAGCTGAAAAACTTTTAAAATGCTGCTGCAATCACAGAATGCTTTAATTCCTAGGGTTTTAGTTAAAGCTCTGAAATACTGGACGGCCTGGTGAGTAAATATCACGTACTCGTCTGGTGTTCTTTTATTGAAATAACAGAAAAACAATTGAAACACTGTTTAGAATTCCTGCTGAGATTTTTTAACAACGAACTAATATTATGAAAATATTGTATCAGTAATTCAGTATAACACTATTATCGCAGTGAATATTTTGGTCTTATAAGTTTATAAGGTATGTTTTTATAGAATTTTTCACGTTACTGTATTAAAGATAGGTATAGCATGATTATTGATTTCTAAAGCATAGATGTTATTAAAATTTCGAGGAACAAATCACTCCTAAAAAGTGTTCGGAACTTTTGGGCTTTGTAAAGTCCAGAGATTTTATGGTTGGACTTTTTGAGAATTCTGTTCGACATTTGGAGACATTTTGTATAGTTAATAAACGAAAATATTCTTTTTACTTTCAATGCGGTTTTGCTGAAACTATGCAGTATTAAAAATGTAATTATATTTTCCCAAATCAATAATAAAATATTATCCTTCGACCAGCGGCTACGCTCGTGTTCCAAGATCCGCCATGTAAAGTGTAGTGAAATGTATTTCATCGTAATATTAAATCCTAAGAAAACTAAAGCCTTTGCGGAGGAGAGAGGTCAGAATCCAATATTTACTGAGTCTGAGGATAAAATTACATTAAATACATAGACAAATAAAATGCCAGTCCGTCGTATTCTTTTAGATTTTCATTCAATTTAGAAGTGAATTTTAGATTTTAAGGGTATATTTGGCAAGCATATATATTTGTGGATTTTTCGGACTTTTACGGAGTTTGGACGTTGCGGAATTAAACGGACTTTTCGTCAAAGTGTACGAGACTTTTGGAGTGATCTGCCCCACCAGAAATATAATGGCATATTTGATAATCATACAATAATAGTTAATTGGCTGAGATTGTAAATGAAGATGTCGATCTTTTTAAATTTTATTTTTCCATTTATAATAAATTTATTTATGCTATACTATACAATAATATTAAACATTTTGGGCTAGTGAGTAGTGACCTACTATTATGTACTAGAAATCTTCGTAGACTTTTTATTTAGGTCGCGATAATTATATTATTTTATTAGACTACGTAATCAATTTTTTACAGTCAGTCAATACAATATGTAAAATCTCTAGATCTTAATCTTTTTGCATGCAACCTTATAGTGGGCTCATGTGAAGGACAACAGCAATTGATTTATTTAGGGTTTTGAAGCTGACAATCTTTTAAAATGCTGCTGCAATCACAAAATATTTAATTCCTTGGGTTTTAGTTAAACCTCTGAAATACTGAACGGCCTGGTGAGCCTACACCAGGTACTCATCTGGTGCACTTTTATTGAAATAACAGAAAAACAATTGAAACACTGTTTAGAATTTCTACTGAGATTTTTTAACAATGAACTAATATTATGAAAATATTGTATTTCAGTAATTCAGTCCCAACGATATTATTGCACAGTGAATATTTTTCTAAGGTGTGATTTTTCATAGAACTTTTCACATTACTGGTTTTGAATCTGACAAGCTTTCAAAATGCTGCTGCAATCACAAAATTTTTAATTCCTGGGGTTTTAGTTAAGCCTCTGAATTACTGGACGGCCTGGCGAGCCTATACCAGGTACTCATCTGGTGTTCTTTTATTGAAATAACAGAAAAACAATTGAAACACTGTTTAGAATTCCTGCTGAGATTTTTTAACAATGAGCTAATATTATGGAAATATTGTATCAGTAATTCATTCCTAACACTATTATTGCAGTGAATATTTTGGTCTTATAAATTAAGGTATGTTTTTATAGAATTTTTCACGTTGCTGTATTAAAGATAGGTAGCATGATTATTAATTTCTTAAGCATAGATGTTATTAAAATTTCGAGGGACAAATCACTCCTAGAAAGTGTTCGGAACTTTTGGGCTTTCGAAAGTCCAGAAATTTTATGGTTGGACTTTTTGAGAATTCTGTTCGACATTTGGAGACATTTTGTATACTATAGTTAATGAATGAATATATCTGAATATATTCTTTTTACTTTCAATGTTTTGCTGAAACTATGAGTGTTAAAAATGCAATTATGTTTTCCCAAATCAATAATAAAATATTATTTGTTAAAAAAATTCGTTCCAGAGCATTCCTCATAGTCAGAATCCAATATTTACTGAGTCTGAGGATAAAATTTCATTAAATACATAGACAAATAAAATGCCAGTCCGTCGTATTCTTTTAGATTTTCATTCAATTTAGAAGTGAATTTCAGATTTTAAGGGTATTTCAGAAATTTATTTTGCAAGCATATATATTTGTGGATTTTTCTGACTTTTACGGAGTTTGGACGTTGCGGAATTAAACGGACTTTTCGTCAAAGTGTGCGAGACTTTTGGAATGATCTGCCCCACCAAAAATATAATAATATATTTGATAATCATACAATAATAGTTAAATGGCTAAGATTGCAAATGAAGATGTCGATCTTTTTTAAATTTTATTTTTCCATTTATAATAAATTTATTTATGCTATACTATATACAATAATTTTAAACACTTTGGGCTAGTGGCCTATATACTACTATGTACTAGAAATCTTTGTAGATTTTTTATTTAGGTCGCGATAATTATATTCATTTTATTAGACTACGTAATCAATATTTTACAGTCAATACAATATGTAAAATTTCTAGATCTTAATCTCTATGTTTTTTTCCATAAACTTGATAACTGCTTTGCATGCAACCTTATAGTGGGCTCATGTGAAGGACAACAGCAGTTGATTTATTTAGGGTTTTGAAGCTGACAAGCTTTTAAAATGCTGCTGCAAGCACAAAATCTTTAATTCCTTGGGTTTTAGTTAAACCTCTGAATTACTGGACGGCCTGGTGAGCCTACACCAGGTACTCATCTGGTGTTCTTTTATTCAAATAACAGAAAAACAATTGAAACACTGTTTAGAATTCCAACTGAGATTTTTTAACAATGAACTAATATTATGAAAATATTGTATTTCAGTAATTCAGTCCCAACGATATTATTGCACAGTGAATATTTTTTTAAGGTGTGATTTTTCATAGAACTTTTCACATTACTGGTTTTGAATCTGACAAGCTTTTAAAATGCTGCTGCAATCACAAAATTTTTAATTCCTTGGGTTCTAGTTAAACTTCTGAAATACTGCATGGACGGCCTGTAGAGGCTATAGACTGCCTGGCGAGCCTATACCAGGTACTCATCTGGTGTTCTTTTATTGAAATAACAGAAAAACAATTGAAACACTGTTTAGAATTCCTACTGAGATTTTTTAACAATGAAATATGAAAATATTGTATCAGTAATTCAGTCCTAACGCTATTATTGCACAGTGAATATTTTGGTCTTATATAAAATTAAGGTATGCTTTTTCATAGAACTTTTCACATTACTGGTTTTGAAGCTGAGAAGCTTTTAAAATGCTGCTACAATCACAAAATTTTTAATTCCTGGGGTTTTAGTTAAGCCTCTGAAATACTGGACTGCCTGGTGAGCCTATACCAGGTACTCATCTGGTGTTCTTTTATTCAAATAACAGAAAAACAATTGAAACACTGTTTAGAATTCCTGCTGAGATTTTTTAGCAATGAACTAATATTATGAAAATCAAGTATTGTATCAGTAATTCAGTCCCAACGCTATTATTGCACAGTGAATATTTTGGTCTTATTAATTAATTAACTAAGGTATGTATTTTCATAAAACTTTTCACACTACTGTATTAAAGATGGTAGCATGATTATTGATTTCTTTTGGGATAAATGTTATTAAAAATATCGACGGGAAAATTACTGCTACAAAGTGTAAGGAACTTTTGGACTGGACTTTCGAAAGTGATTTTATGATTGGACTTTTGGAAATTTTGTTTGACTTTTAGGGACTTTTTGCAGTTAATAAAGGAATAAGCAATGCAGTAGAATGTAAACATTTTTTTTAAATCAATAAAATATATTTGTTAGACTTGTTTGTTCCAAAGCCGTCCTCAGAATTCGTATTTAATGATGATAGACAAATAAAATGCCAGTCCGTCGTACTCTTTAAGATTTTCATTCAATTTATAGACATGAATTTTATACTACGAGGGTATATTTTAGGAATTTAATTGTTTAAAAAGTTTTCATTTTTTCACAGGATATCTTTTGAATCCTCGTCAAATTGTGAAGAATGAAAGTTTTGTTGCCTTTCGTTTGTGTCGTTCTGTTCGTTGCGTTCACGACAGTAGATACTGTGGAAGGTTCGTGTCATGCTATCAATGACAGTTTTCATTGTTTTTTAGTGAAATTAAAGCCCAGCGCAAACTAGGAAACATCCAGGAAACTACAGTTCTCTTGTCTGAAGGGAAGCAAACCAAGAAACATTGTTTCCTAACCTGTAGTCATGTTTTCTTGGGAGAAAGACACACCATTGTAGGATCACGAGTGTCTGGTTTGGGTGAATTAAATAACCACGCCCTGTGTAATTGATCTTCACTCATTACCTTTAAAGATTCAGCTTATGAAATAGAAAACGAGGAGACATTTCTTGAAAAACGTCAAAGATGCTCCACAATTACTTTCCCGTGTGATTCTGGCTCTCTTATGCCAAATGTTTGCAGGAAATGAATATTGTACTTGTAGAATATTCTTTTTTTGAGGAACGAAACAGAATAGCTGTTGGATGAAATATAAAGTTTTCGGTCCATTTTAACATTTGGGAAAATCAAAAAGTTTTGAATTTCTTGGGAAAGGTTTTTGCTTCATGTTTGGCTGGAAAGTAAATTCTGTAAATTTCTGCGACAATACGTATAATGTTCGAGGAACATCAAAATTTAATGTTTTCTCAACTGAAAGTTTCCTAATTTGAAGGGTGGTGTTAAATGCCGTCGTTTTAACTTTAATCGCCCACTAAAAGCCAAGAAGAATATATTCGTCTGTCTGTTTTGTCAATACGGCAATTTTATCAAAAATTAAAAGATCAGGCAGGATTAGTTCACAAAACGGAAGAACCATTGCCACTATTCTGTCTGGTTCGTCGATAGTAGGCAACTCATCAACAATAGTTAAGTGACTCGCTATATAAATGTTCAGAGTTCCAGTGTCTCCTCCGCAGGCTCTTCTATATATAGATTAAATTCAAATATCCGTAATATGTAGAACAGTGGCGTACATTGCGTAATATGTAGATCAGTGGCGTACACGCCCGCAACTAAGGAAGAGGGCGAAAAGGAAAATGAGAAGACGAGAAATTCCTCCCCTTCCCACTTTTCCGCGCGCCATTAATTATTCGATTTCCGAATTATTCTGATTATTCGTTTTCCCTTAATTATTCGCGTTTGTCCGTTTTTCTCTTAATTAATTATTTGTTTTTTCCTTAAATTAATTATTTGTTAGCAAAAAAGTCCGAACCAAGTTGCCCCACCGTCACGTTCCCGTGTTCTTATATGCCAAAAGTTTGTGACAACATTGCACGGGCCATTAAAGGCGGCAAACCAACACGTCTACATCGCATCACGGACAGAAAAGCCATAAATAAGAACGCACGTGTCGCTGAATGCACAGGGAAAAAATGTACCCAGTATCCTTTTGCTACAACCAGAGAAGGTACGAAGTATATGCATTAACGAGGTGTCCGCCCAGGAGAGACGACCCGTGATTCAGAAGTTTCTTTGTTAGAGTAGTGACCATATTGGAGAGGTGTCTTGATGCAGAGATGTCTGTATTAGAGAGGTTTCGGTATTAGAGTGGTCTCCGGATCAAAGAGGTGTTTGCATTATAGAAATACCCATTAGCTGTGATCTTTGCATAGCAATAACTCTGCAAAGCCTTGCTTGGGAAGGAATATATAGAGATATCCTTCTTTAAGAGGTACCCAAATCAGGAAGGTTTCTGTATTAGAGAGGTGTTCGTATAAGAGAGGTGTCTGCATTAGATGGAGAAGTCTTCGTATAAGAAAGGTGGCTAGATACCAAAGATGTGTCAGCATTAAAGGGATTAATATTAGAGAGATGTCTGTATTAGAGAGATGTCGGTAGTGAAGAGACGAACGTATTAGAAAGGTATGTCTGTATTAGAGCGGTACCCGTATTAGAGATTAGAGAGGTGTCTGTATTAGAGTGGTCTCCGCTGTGAAGAGACGAACGTAGTAGAAAGGGGTGTCTGTGTTACAGCGGGCCCGGAGCAATTTGCCCCCCCCCCTGCCCCCCCCTCTCGGCGGCCCTGGCCTTACAGAGTCTTTCTTAACCATGAACATTTTCTTCATTTTTCCAGGTGGAAAAGGTGCTTTTGTAAAGTCTGTCCCAACGGATGAAATTCCTTTTCAAAAATATATATTGACCCATTTTTATAGAAATGAGAACGTTGGAAATGGTGGCTGTTTCAACGTCAAACTTGATCAAAGTACCCGGCGTCCCACATCCACTCTCGTTGGTTAATGTACTTATATATTTTAAGTTTTAAGTTTATCTTGTAGTTGTATAATTTTCGTTTGTGAGGAAGGAAATAAAACAGTCGAATAAACATGGAATTTTGTGGTTTTTAACACTTGGGGAGACAAAAGTAGCGACTGAAATGTTTCATGTTTGATCAGTAATCCCCCCGCCCCACTCTTGATCCATCCGACACTGGGCCTGGGCCCCATCAGACGATGCTCAGTTGTCGTCCTTTACAAGACCCCAGCACGTCGCTGGTCTATACACTTTATTGTTGCAGTCTCTATCTGCAAATGTAATGAAGCTGTCACGAAAGTGATATTTCAGTCTCATTTTGGCTTTTGCCTATAGAGGAAGGTGAAAATATATCGCGCTGAATGAAGAGAAAATTGTATTAATTACTGATGACGTTCGGTTCGTGTTTTCCCCAGGTGAAGCATGAAAGCACTTGTTTTACTCTTACTTGGGTGTATCTGTAACTGACTGGAACCCAGTCGTCAATGAGTAGATGTACATCATGCACCATTACTTTTTCTCCATTTCCCATTTCAGGGTCTGGGTACGAGTCAGTCGCTCTCGCCGTTCCTTCGACCCCATCTTGGCTAGGTTCCAGTGTTCTCAAGTAAAAAAGGGATGAAATATAAATAGAAGGCCCTGTATAGGTCTAGGCTGTAATTTGATATCGTTCTGGTAAAAGACCGTGAAATTTGTGTGAAGGATAGACAGTCCTTATTGCCTAGAAATGTTTATATATTGCCTAGAAATGTTTATATATTGCCTAGAAATGTTTATATATTGCCTAGAAATACATGCACGCAGAAACTTCTCGCTGTCACTAACAAAACAACTATATATTGGGAACATGAAAACCCATTGATCTAAATTAGATCAGTGAGTAAAACCCCGCATGTAGGAAACCTGTTAGGATAATGTTCTTATTTCGACCCCCTTTAATTTATCAAACGCATCTGATTGGTTAATACGATAGATCAAACGCATCTGATTGGCTAATATGATATATCAAACGCATCTGATTGGCTAATATGATATATCAAACCCATCTGATTGGTTATTGCTTCGTAGTGGAAGTCAAATCTGAACCTCTTTGTTACCGTTTTTATCAGTACTTCT